TCCCAGATGGCAAGCAATTAGCCACCTGGCCATCCAGGTCAGACTGCTATCAATCTCCCAGCAACAAAAGAGAGTCCTCACTGCTGACAACTGATCAACAGCTTCTAGTTGTCTTTGCCTTTCTTGGATTCCTGAGCCCTTGAACTGGCTATAAAGCACCTGCTTTGTCTGACCGCTTCCTTGGCTTTGCTTTTCTTGCGTGACCATGAGATGTCTAAGACCTCATGTCTCACCCTTCTCCTCAACCTGACTCTCCCATTCAACCCTAACAGAGCCTGATTTTCCCCAGCACTGGCTCCTTCTAAGTACAAGAGACATAGGATGGAACCGTGGCAGTAGAAGTGGTATGAAGCTGCAGCAGTACGGATGCACACCCTGGAAACACTATGAGGAAAATGTGTGTTTCTCTTTTTTGCATTTCCATGTCTCACCACTCTTTAGAGATGCCTTTCTTTCTTTCTTTCTTTCTTTCTTTCTTTCTTTCTTTCTTTTCCAGACTGCACCCCAGAGATATCATCTCTGGATCCAAGCCTATTTATTACCCTAATGAAAGATGTGTTTGCATGTGGCAAAAGCATGGAGGCTTCTGGTGCAAAACCCTAAGGTGAAAGGGCAGGGACAGTGAAATTAATTCCTTTCAGTCTTTTAAAAGACACACATCGCTGGTTATGCCAACAAGAGAAGCATTTCCTGCATTGTTTGCTCTCCCTGCTGGGAAAGGGTTTGCAGAATCATAGGATCATAGGGTAGGAAGGGCTCCTGGAGACCATCTACTCCAGCCCCCCTCTCAAGCCAGGATTTCCATCTAGGGCTTCCCCAGCAGGGAGCTGTCCAGCTTCTTTTTGAAGACCTCCAGAGAAAGAGAGCCCACCACTTCTTCAATGAAACATGGTTTCCAATGTCTAGCCCAGGGGTAGGCAACCTTTCCCCTTTAAGGGCCGAGGGACTTCAGCTCCCAGAATCCCAGGAGCTATTGGCCAACATGGGACTATTGGCCAGCATGGCTGAGGCTTCTGGGAGCTGAAGTCCCTCCTTGGCCCTTAAAGGGGAAAGGTTGCCTACCCCTGGTCTAGCCCCTCTCACTGTCAAGAAGTTCCTTCTGAATTTCTATCAAAGTCTACCTTCGTGTATCTTCAAACCCAAATACTATTTAATATTGTTTTAAGGGGGGAGGGATATCTTGTTATTGTAATGTTTTAACTTGTAAACCGCCCGGATTGGGTAACCATTGGGCAGTATAGAAATAAATTTTATTATTATTATTATTATTATAACCCTTAGACCTGGTCCTACCTTTTGGGACAGCTGGGAACAAGCCTGTCCTCCCCTCTCTGTGAAAGCCCTTGAGATATTCAACCATGCCACCCCTCCATCTTCTCCATGCCCAGCTCCTTCTGAGGAAGCGTCTTCCACTGTCAAACAGCTCTTACAGTCAAGAAATCTCTCCTAATGTTGAGCTGGCATCTCCTTTCCTGTAGCTTGCATCCATTGAGGCTCCATTGTGTCCTATTCTCTGGAGCAGCAGAAAACAAGCTTGCTCCATCCTCAATAGGACATGTTTTCAAATACTGAAACAGGGCTATCTATCCTATCACCCCTTAATCTTCTCTTCTCCTGGCTAAAACAGACCCAGCTCCCTAAGTCGCTCCTCATAGGGCTTCATGGTTTCCAGACCCTTCCCCATTTTAGCCAGCCTCCTCTGGACACACTCCATGGCCAACCTTTCCCAGTTTTGAGTGGAGATTATCTTGGAAAGAGGGTGAAAAATAAAAGGGTGGTGTGTGGGGGGGGTGTCTAATTTCCAGCCGGCCCCAGAATGAAGGCTGGTCTTTGTGTGGGATTAATTTTTCAGAGCTGAGGAGGATTTGATGTCAGTGGGAAAGAACCAGCGTGGGATTGGTAGGGCTGCCTTCCTTTCTCCGGCTTTTGGCCGGAGGGACCCCCGAGGCCCATTTCTAAGGAGATGAAAACCCTGACAAGCCCCTCAGTGAAGCTGAAAGCAGGCAGACGTCCAGAAGGCCTGCCAGGCATCCTCTGACCCCCTTAGAAAAGTCACATTCACTTTGCTCTTGAGAAAGGAAAAAGAGCGCCAGGGGCGGTTTTTTTGTTTTAAATCATGTGAAATAAGGAAATGTGAGGATGTGAAAATGAAGGAGTGGGGGGAAAGGAAAGGAATGGAAAAGGAAAGGAAAGGAAAGGAAGAAAAGAAAAGAAACCCTTAGAATTCATTTCCTCCCTTTGCAGTCGGACTCAAAAGAGGCTTCATTTTTGAAAGTGTGTCTATGTGTGTGTGTGTAAAAAAGTCTGATAGATTCACCAGTAGGCAGTAACTACAAAATGCTTAAGGTAAAATATGTAAATATGTAAAATAATCTCTTGCAAGCCATCTCCTTTTGTGCACCGAAAAGAAGGGGCGGCGGCGGCGTTGGAGTTGGAAGAGTATATATATATATATATATATATATAGTTTTAAAAAAGCATCTTTATTTCTCAGTTGCATTAAATAAGGAAAAGTTTCTCTTAGCAAAACAAAACAACAAGAGAAAGAAGGAAGGCGTTGGGAGAAAGAAAGGGCAGCTTGGAAATAAATCTTCCCAGAGATAAAGGGAAAGGAAGAGGGATTGACAAATGCCTTGTTCTTCAGTTGCCCTTTTAGTAATAATCTGAATAACAATCATGCACCATGTAGATTACAGGATTTTTTTTTTTAAAGGGTTATTTTCACTGAGCTACAGAGCAGATTTCTCATTTCATTCTGGTGCTGAGCATCCATTCTTTCCTCTCTTTTTAATACTTCCATTGTGCCTTTCAACTCAGACATGCTTTTTAAAAATCTTGGCAAAGCAGATCTAACCGAATTGCTTTTCTCCTGCCATGGAGGCCTGGGTGCTCCTAGTCTCCAAATGTAAGTGTATCATCCGGATAAGTCTTGCTAATCCCTTGCTTCTTCCAAAAATACTTAACCATCAATGCAAGCGATATAGATATAGATATAGATATAGATATAGATATAGATATAGATATAGATATAGATATAGATATAGATATAGATATAGATATAGATATAGATATAGATATAGATATAGATATAGATATAGGTCTACCTTGGGAACCCATTGGGAAGATTCACAGAAGAATATCAGGACCTTTTTTTGGCATTAAAACCTTAAAACCTCTCCCAATCATCAGTTTTGCAATTGAATTACCATAATTAGAGTTCATAGAAAATGCATCACAATCCAGCATCAAAAAAGGGTGATGCACCTATTAATACAGATAAAACATTAATGTAAAATAACCTTATGTTTCATTCTGGTGGAAGAAAGGAGATGAAATAAACAATAGGCAACAGTAGATGGAATCATCTTTGGAGGCATCTGCACTGTAGATTTGATGCGGTTTCATACTGCTTGAATTGCTATGGCTTCATGCTATGGAATTATGGGATTTGTGGTTTTGTGAGATACAGTAGGGCCGTGGTATCCACTGGGGCAATGATTCCCAAATTTTGGTCCTCCAGGTGTTTTGGACTTCAGCTCCCAAAAGTCCCAGCCAACTTGGCCAACAGTGAGGAATTCTGGGAGCTGAAGTTCAAAATATCTGGAGGACCAAAGTTTAGGAACCATTGCATTGGGGTTTGGTTCCAGGAGCCCCTACGGAAAACAAAATCTATGGATGCTCAAGTCCCATTTAATACCATGGAAGTAATATGGTGTCCCTTTTATAAAATGGCAAAATCACAGCTGGTTTTTTGGAAGATAGATAGATAGATAGAATATTTTCAAGCTGTGGATGCTTGAATCCATGGATAAAGAATACGTGGCTATGGAGCACCGACTGTATTTAACCTCTGTCAGAGAGCTCTGGTGCCACAAAAAACTACAACACCCATAATCCCATAGCATTGGGCTGTGGCACTTAAAGCGAAGTCAAACTGCATTATTTCTGCAGTGCAGATGCAACCTTAATGATATATGCAAAGTAAGTTCTCCTTATACCTGCATATATCTTTTTTTTGGGGGGGGGTTGTTGACGAAGTTGGTATTTCTCTTCTCACCTAAAAGTCTTGCATTTGCTTGCTTTGCTCTTTGGTCAGTCACCGAATCCCATTCTGGGAGAAAGGCGGGATATAAATCCTTGAAATAAATAAAATAATAATCTAGTTTGCAAATCTGACTGCAGAGGCACATATCTCTGGGAATCACACGGAGGGTTAATCCTGGAGAAGACGCATTCCTCTTAACCTCTGTTTCGACCTTTCAATGAGTTTATGACTTCTGTCAAACCTGCAAAATTGCTTCACAACCACTTTAGCCAAACTTCATTATTTGATAATGTCTCCGTTACGAGATTACAATAGCGATTGTTTGGTTTGGTTATAGCTGCCAAACATTTCCATGGCAGTCCTCCTGGCCTAAGTTGCAGAAGAGACACATGATGTCTGGTTGCATTTATTAATGGCGATTCTTTGAGCATCCTGAATCACAACACCAGGGAAAAAACATTCCTCAGACCACGCAGAGCAACATAACAGACAGTGTTTATAATATAAATGACAATATGTACAGTGTTCCTTTCCCTTCAGTTAAAAAAGAAACAAACAGGGAATGCTTTGAAGGGGAAATTAAAAGCACTGGATGCTTGACGCAATAGTTCCTTGTTTTACTTATTAAGGTTTTAACACTGTTCAATGGTTCCTTGATTCATTTCTTATCAATGTAATACCATTAGTAGAAAGACCCTCGTGTCTTGGTTGAGGGAAAAGACAGTGAAATCACATACCGGACAAGGCAATTTCTGTATTTTATCCTACATTGCCAGTATTCCCAAGAAGGAGGAGGAGGAGTTGTGTGCCTTCAAGTTGTTTCCAGTTTATGGCAACCCTAAGGCGAACCTATTGTGGGGTTGTCTTGGCATGATTTGTTTAGAGGGAGTTTGCCCTTGCCTTCCTCTGAGGCTGAGAGTGTTTGACTTGCCCAAGCTCATTGAGTGGATTTCCATGGCTGAGCAGGGATTCGAACCCTGGTCTCCAGAATCATAATCCTACACTCAGACCACTACACCATGCTGGCTGTCATAGGATTGATGCAGAAGTATGGGCCTAATTCCTACTGCAGGTCCAGATGAGAGAGGGACTTGGGCACTTCTAACACTCATTGGGCACATCTGGTGCACAATGGGCACATCTGATGGTCATTCTAATGAACACTGGACATTTCTGATGCACATTGGGCACATCTGATGCTCATTTTGACACACACTGGGCATGCACATAGGGCACCTCTGATGCACATTGGGCACTTCTGATATGCATTAGACATGTCTGACACACATTGGGCACATCTGATGCACACGGGACATTTCTGATGCAGATTGGGCACTTCTGATGCACACTGGACATTTCTGGTCCACATCTGATGCTCATCCTGATGCACATTGGACATGCACATTGGGCACCTCTGGCACTCACGGGGCACTTCTGATATGCATTGGACACTTCTGATGTAAATTGGGTATTGCTGGTGCATATTAGGCACTTCTGATGCACTCTGGTTTGCTCCAGCAGTTGCATTGGAGAGCAGTCCTATGGACCAAGGGCTATCGGTCACCCCACCACAGTGCAATGGAGACCTAGTACATAATAAAGTCACAGCAGCCCATAGATGAATACGGATCTTGCAAAACTGCTCAATCCTATTTCCTGGACACATAAGCCCACTTACAAAGGTACGAGTCCCATATTGAGTTCCATGCATTGTTCTCTGCATTGCAATGGTTTTTGTGTTAAAAAGACCAGTTTTTGCATAAATGAATTTTTTGTGTTTTTTTTTTTTAAGTGTCAAAGTGCTTTTAAAAAATTGTCTAAACTGCTCAGAAACTTCCCAGTGGGGAAGAAACATTTGCAATTATTCCTTCTTGCATATGAAAGTGGGATAAATGATGGTTTACATCCCTAGAAGAGGTCAAGCTTTGCTGGAAGGAAATTTGGCATTCTAAGAGGAAATCCTTGCCAGCATTTTACTCCATCCGAGACAGTAGGTGCTTTGAAAATGTATTTTTCAAAACAGGAGCAAAAACTGTATCTGGGTCTGTTTTCTTGTATTGTTTTGTGGCCATGCTCACTGTCACATCCTTTTTGTCCAAACAGATTTCTTCATAAAAGCGTTTCCTGCACCTCTGTCCCCAGTGCGTAATTAGGATATTTTTCTAATTCAAAGATAATAACTGGAAATTAATTGTGAAAAATCTTCTCTTGGATACTCAAGACACACAGCTGGACATCTGGAAATCTCTCTTGTCCCAAAAGTAGCTAAAATGGCATCCGTTAGACAGGAATTCATTTCAAACCTAACGTTCACAATCCATAAGAAACTATGGCCACACTTCCAGTGCAGATTCGAACTGTTCTTATAACTTTTTTTCTTGCAGTAACAGCACCTGAATTCATTACAAGCTCATTAATTATGCTGCTTATATAAAGGGGAAAGACTTCAATCAGCCCCAGTAACCTTCTAAAGTACCTGGGCATTCGCTTATCGTGAAATCAACCCCAAGCGTCTCATGTCTCCTATACTCTTAGAAATTGCTTTTCAATTATTTAGCATAAATGAACAAAACTGTGGCTGATTAGGACAACTAGAGATTACTGCGCTCGTTTTTGATGTGACAAAAGTCATGGGGAGATGGAGGTGGGGTCCTTCCGTGGCGCGGTCCCTTGCAGGGGTCTCTAGGGACCAGTGGGCCGTTTCTGTTCCTGCCGATACATTTCACTCAAGGCTGACTGATGAAATCTGGTGAAAACTCCTCCAGATTTCAACCCTGGAAGGGAACCCTAACCTTGAGAGGGACCGAGTTCCTAAATCTGCCAGACGGAGCATAATTTTACACTCGGGAGTTATGCAACAGTTGGACATCAGAATATCATCTTGTTGGAGCATTGCATGATCCAACATGCATTGTGACCTTATGGAGTGAGGCACAATGATACACAATGGTGCACACTGGTGCACGATGATACACCATGTAACATGCACATCGATGCACCATATGCAACGAAACTGTATGCACAGCTAGCTCTGCTTCTGCAACCTTGAACTGAATATGAAGATAGTGCATCTGGGGAAAATGTCCAGCTCCTTCCACCAAGGAACTTATGCATGCACATGGGACTAGTAGGATGCCACCTAGGATCGCATCCTGACCCTAACCCTTACACAACTGCAGCTGGGCTTTGCCATATCAGTAGGATTGCCATCTTCCAGATCCAGCCATCTAATTTGCATAGCATGCCAATCATTGTAATTGTGTTATTAATTTGCGTTCTGCTTATGCAAATTCAACACATTAATCATTGCACTTTTTCTACCATGATGTTTCAACCTCAGTACCAGTACCAAGCTGAGAGATCTCTTTTTCTTCTTCCCCCACCCCAAAAAAAAAGCTGGTGTGAAGAGAAGGAGGCTTCCAGAGAGTAAATGGTCTTCCTTTACTCCCTCAAGGGCATTTGCAAGCAAAGTTCCACCATGTTGCTTAGCCCTAGGGTCAAGCCACTGACACAATCGCCACACAACACAAGGCCATCTTCCTTTCCCACCCTCTGGGACTGTTGAGGGAAAAGGGGAAATAGTGGAAGAATAAGCTGGCAATGTTACCCCAGCACAGAAGCAACCAGAGCCTGCAGGTGGGATGAGGTTCCCACCATTGCACAGTTTCCTGCTTCATTGCCACTGCCACATTTTAACTTATTGGCCTGCAATGAGGGAGAAATCTGGGATTTACTGATTCAACCGGTCCAGCCAACCAGGACATTTTTTTAGTCCTTTCAATCCGGGATTTTCCAGGTTTTCTGGGACAAACGGCAACCCTACATGCCAGGGAAATTCCAAGGAAATTGCTTGGAAAGCAAGGACATTCCATGTTACTGTTGCTCAGGGTGCACTCCTCTAGGCTCACTATTCTCTAACCCTACTGGTGTGGAATAGCTACGTTCAGTTCAAAGTTGCGGAGTTGTGCATATGGCACCATTGCATGTGATCACACATCGCTCCTCAGTAGGCATGTGCATGTCGCACATTACACACCAAGGTGCATGCACATTGTAAAGGCAAGGTGAAGGTATTCCCCATTGACAAGGCTGTCAAGTCATGTCCAGCCATAGTGGACGGTGCTCATCTCCGTTACTAAGCCAAAGAGCCAGCATTGTCAGAGACTACTCTGTGATCCTGTGGCCAGCATGATTGCACAGAATGCTGTTTACCTTCCCACCGAAGTGGTACCTATTTATCTACTTGCATTTTCATGCTTTCGAACTGCTGGGTTGGCAGAAGCTGAGACTAGTGACAAGAGCTCACCCCATCATGCATCATCCGGGCCTCGAACTGATAACCTGTCCATCTTGCAATCCACAGAATCAGCGTCTTCACCACTTGAACCATTGCATCCTTTTGCACATTGCACAAGGATGCATATCGTGCGTGTGCATTTTGTTCCACATTCAGTTGCTCACAGTCACAATTCACTGATTGCACAACCACCATGTAAGCCATCAGCATAAAGTTGCATCCTGTTTCTTTGTTGTGGGAGGCCAGCCATAAGATCCCAAAGTTTGGAAATCTTCTACAACTATCCTAGTTCAATCTAACCCCTTTTTAATTATGCTGCGGGATTTGGCATTTTAATTATACATCTCTCTGGAGGAAGGGTGGGGTGGAAAGGAAAAATAAATATGTTCCTAATTCATCGTATGATTTAGTCAAAATAGGGTAGCCTTTTTGGCAGTACAACAAAGTACACGGTCATCCAAAATCCACAAAACAGTGATAACTTTATCAGACCAACCAAAATGCACAAAATTCATGTTGCAATCTTTCGAATCTCCACTGGCTTCTTCATCAGGCAAAGGTGTTTAAAATCATTCAGAATCTGTCTAAAATCTCAGCTCTTGTACTACTTTTGAAAGACAAAGATGATGAAGAAAGTATAAAACAAAAGAAAGAAGCAGTGTTTTGCAATATACAAATGCGTACACATGGCCCTGTAGAAAAATGCATGTTATTTTATGTATTATTTTCCACCCAAAATGTATTCATGTGTGGGGAAAAAGAGGAAGCTTAGGTATTTTACATGCTGCAAAATGTAGGCAGAGAAGTTTTGATCGAGGAATTCAATGAAGAGTGGACCTGATGGAAAGGAAAAATCAGAATTTGTCTAAAATGTCACATTTACATTTTAATTTTAAAAATTGATCGAGGACTTCCCTTTCATTCTTGCTCTCACTTTTTTGACCCCCTTTCTGGTAGAAATATTGCATTTCCTCAGATCAAAACAGCATCATTTGGAACGTATACGAACGGGGGAAGAAAATGCCCCCGAAATAACGGTGCTGGTCCCATGTCCAAAGCCTTGCCCGGACCATCCTTTTCTGCCCATTCAACCAGTCAGGTGAATTTCTGTAATGACTTCTCCATTTTAGATTGCCCATTTGCAAGTTCTTACTGTCAGCATGAATTATTCTCTGTGATGTGATTCCCGCCGTCAACGGCAGCAAAGTATGACTGTTGTAGCGTTCTGTTAACATGACATGCTTCTCATATATCTGTATTCCAAATGTCAAGATGATACGGTACAGCCAGCCAGAAGTGCTCCATTATCAAGATTTAGGAGAACAATTCACACTGAAGGAAGAGGTGGCTAAAACCTTTCCGTTTTATCTGCCATCTCTCGCTCGGCGTCAGCTCCAAACAAGTTCTTTATGCCACGGAGGATTGTGTCTCACACAGAGTCAAAAGCTGCTTAAGTGGATTTATCTGAGTCAGTTTGACTGGTCTATTTGAAGTTGGTTTTCATTCCAAGAGGTATAAAAACAGGTGCCTTTGTCTTGGGAAGGCTGGCAGAGACGGAGAACCAAATGATGCTTTCGGGAGCTAAATAAAGCTGCTAAGTCAAGATCCAAACTGTTGGTGAGGGTGCATCATTGTCATATTTGCAGCAGCAAACCCTACAACTCTTGCAAAGTTAGTGGTCACTCTTCATTTAGGATGCATCTACACCAGTGGTTCCTAAACTTAGGTCT